TTCTTGGTCAAGCGTCGTTGCTTGGCTCGTGCGAAAGGCAATTTTCAGCGTAATTGACAATAATGCATGCATTGTCCTTTGACCTCGATGTGGGTACGTGCAGATGATTGCCCGTTATCGCATGTATATGGTATTGGATTGCAATAAATATTTTGGAAATAAATTGTACTCGATAGTTTATGTACATCTGACTGTGAATTGATCTGACTGTGATTGAACATGTGAGTTATGCAAATTTATGCTCTCGATGGTAGCTAGTGATGTCTACAGACTTTGCCTCGTGCGATAGAAACTGTTGCGCCTTGCTGGCGTCTCTCTTAAAAGGATTCTCGCTCACCGCTTGGTCTTTACGAATTGCCTCCTTCTTGGCGTCTCCAATCAAATTGATTCTTTCATTATTGGCGGCTCCAATCAGAGCGCTTCTTACTTACATCCCCACTATGAGGAGGACTTTTTGGCGCGTTCTCGCTTCACTATCCAAGCCACATGTAGCTAGATTTGACAACAGCATGTGCGTTGCAGTGTTGCTTTTAATTTTCTTTTTCCGGATGTCAAACGACGTGGTTTTTTGCTTATATTTTTATGACTTGTTTTTCACAACTTGACTGACATGTTTTTCCCAGATGCTTAACGACTTCATTTGTATTGGAGCTCTAATAGCTAGTTTTCCAGATGTCTAATAACTTGGAAATATTCTTACAATTTCGAACAAACTTCTAAATTTATTCCCATGACTAACTCGTTTATTATATCTAGTTTATACAATTGATTTTCATATATATGATATTTTAGTCACACGGTAATAAATTACCATATCTTTATACATATTTGCTCCTTTTTTCAGTTTAGGTCAATCATTTTATGTTTAATTGAATGAGCACAGTAATTTTTTTATATAGTGTTTGCTTATAATATTCTCACATACTCATATGTTAGTATGTTATCATACTTTTGCATATTTATTTCATATATTGGTTAGATATAAGAAAATTATTAGTAGAATTAATATTGTGTATACTCGACAAACATTATCAAAGAAGAATATAAGTCAATTAAATTCGATGATATATAAAGAAAAAATTCAGTTGCAATAAAAAAATTTGTCTACAACACAAATTTATAGATTTATTTATATATAGTTATAATTACAAAATTGCATTAATAACTTTTTCATTGAATTAACCTAAATTTTGCTATCTATGCCAAAAATAGCTTTAATTAATAGGTAATATTACAAAAAAATTATGTAATAGACTATACTTAAATCAATATCAATACTTCGAGAATCTCAAAACAAATTTTAATTAAGAATGAAATTCTAACATTTGCATGCACTCAATAATGTTATTCTTTGCAATGGATTTTATACAAAATGAAGTAATTTTTATTCAGAATAATTTTAAAATATTGCTATTTTTAAAATTTTTAAAAAATTGTTTATTACTTTATTAAACTTATTAAAACAGATAAATATTGTGTACATAAAAAAAGAAAATTACTTTTTTAAATTAAAACAAAATTCTTTTAAAAACATTTTTATGATAAATATTTAAATAATGAGTGTCTGGGATCAGACTAAAAACCTGGCTTTGATGGTGGCTGGAAGCTTGCTGTTAAGTGGAAGGGGCAATGCAATAATTTAATACTGCCTTTAGAGTTTATTGTCTTTCTCTTTATTAAATATAATAAATATAATAAATAGTCAATGATCTATAGATGTCGAAATGAATGTATGAGACAATGAATAGATGCGTGTTTCTTCAATTAATGTTCGTGGCGATAAGTCTGTAAGTGTATTCTTGATAGCCTGAAGCGTGAGTCCCCTTCTCCTTATGAGTTGAGTAGCAGTAGTGGGAGACTCGTGCTGGTAGGGGCAGCGAGTTGGTGCCGTTTTAGCCGCCGGCGTAGGGTGAGCGTTATAGTGGTCGGGTGGTGGGAGGATGTCCGTGTTACGTTACTGCTTGACTGAGTGGGAGATTCACTCGTATCGGTGTAATGTAATATCAATAGTGTGTGGTGATTAAGTGAGCGCGAGGACCGCTCTTATACCTATAGTGGTGAGTGACGTTCGTAATGCGCCGCTGCGTATGTGTACGTTAGATCAGATATATGATGGTATTGGTGCACGTTCGTAGTGTGTTGCTGCTTACGTGTTGGTTGCCGCGCTGATGCTTAAGGAAGCGCAGGTCAAGACTCCACGTAGTTAACGTGAAGCAGCAATTCAGTACGTAGTGTCGGTAGTCATAAAGTGCACAGTGTCAGTTATTCCTCACAATCAGTCACTCGTCCTAGCCAATCATCTAAGCCAGAGCCACGCTGTCACAGGGAGTCCTTGCCAGGAAAAGGTGACGCAACACACGCTTTCTCGGCGCAGCCATTACAAGGAACGCTTGTTCACTTCAATGCGAACAGACATCAATTCGTCAAGGGCTGACTGTTTTTCTAGAAAATAGTCGACTACACAAAGCATGGTATCTGATCCTTCTACACTAGAAGGTATATCATCTGTCTTTATTGAGAATATACTCCTCTTATGAGTATGGCCGACTTTCCTTGCTAACTGCCACTACCACCTTCTCATGCTCACCTTATGGGCATGGTCGACTCTCCTTGCTGACCTTTACAACGTTATCATAGAATCGAACAAGCCATATTCCCCTTCAGGGAATATACAAAATCCATTGATGATCCCCATAACATCATCAACGACATCGCCACTATCACCAAGGAGCAACCACATCATTGTAATAGAATAATTCCCCCTCTCCCATAAGAAGTGAATATAGAATTACAATAATTTAATTATCAATAAAACAAAATAAACGATATCCTAAACGAAGTTACACACTGTACATATTTACAGCCCTTCCGCGTGTGTCCTTTCCTAAGTATCGCTAAGGCGAGAGACTAATAAACTGAACTATTGAATTTGTCAGTTCGAGCCAGAAACTAAACTTTCGAACAGTATGAATTATCATCTATTTTATTGTGTCATGTATTGCCGATGTCAACATATTTTTTATATTTTTCGAAATTTATAAAACCAACTTTTAACCTCTATAAATTATTTTCTGATAAAACAATTGAATTGTTTTTAAATACAAAATATAATTATTGTAAAACAAAACACTAAATTATTTTAAAATTAAAAATAAATTTTGTAAAGGGAATATTATTTACACATATCTATTAAAAATTTAAATCATAAGGCCTATTATAATAATATGTAATTCAAATTTATTTGTTAAATTAGTTTTTAATTACATTCGTATATATGTATATAAAATAAATCGTTCGAGATTGCGAGACCTTTTTTCAATGCAATATAACATCTGGCCAAACAACATCGTGACTTTGTCTTTTAGATTTCAAAACTTTCTTGCTCTCAACCATCTAGCAATAATGTCATAAAACATCTGGCAAAACAAGAAAATAAACACGAGATAAACCAATCTCATTAGGCATTTGTACCAATTCGCTCGGCTCGGTAACTACTTCAAGCGGTATGGATCAGCGGCCCACTC